GAGCTGGGGGTGGTAACGGCCGACAGGGAGCTCTGGCGTGGGCTGATCCATGAGGTCACGAAGAGTCGGAGATGACTGAACGAGTGAACAACAACAACAACAACCATAATTGTTTATTTAGTCTGTTCCTTTTACTTCCATTACAGTACTTATTAATCATTTGTTGCCATCTAGTTAGTTCTTCTTCTGTAATTTGAAGTGGTAGCATCCTAAATATGAAATTTATTTTTGGAAGTATTTTCATTTTTACTAATGCTATTCTTCCAAACCATGATAAGCGTATTCCTTCGTACTCTATTAACTTTTTCTGGACTTCTTTCCTTAATGTTACTACATTTACTTCCTCTATCTCTTTTAAATCCTTAGTTATTATTACTCCCAAGTATTTTAGTTTGTTCTTGATTCTTATTCCCCCTTTGCTCTGTTCTATAAGAAATCTTTGGTTTCTCCACTGAGAAGAGGCAAAATGTTTGACCATTATTTAAACCAGGGGTCCTCAAACTTTTTGAACAGGGGGCCAGTTCACTGTCCCTCAGACTGTTGGAGGGCTGGACTATAGTTTACATGGGAATATTGTGAAACATTTATTTTATAAATTGTGAAACATTTATTTCTAATTACAAATAAACGAAATTTTGACTGCAAGTATGTCGTAGCATGGGTAACAGGCTAACTATAACAGCAGGGAACCCATGAATATGTTTACTGATCAGCCTATTGGCCGAATTCCCATGACCTCTTGTCATCATAGTTTGTGGCAGCCACACAAAGTTTCTGGAGAACTACTACTTTCAAAGTAAGAGCCGCACAATTAAACAGAAAATAACAATTTCAAACCAGGAACAGATTTCTGTTCTACAATATTATTATTATGCTTATTTATACACCACTTTTTGTCTTCACAAGGAGACTGTGGGCACTTCCAGAAAGGCCCTATATCCCAGGATATGATCCCAGGTTTTCTGCTTTAAACTGGATTATTTGAGTTTGCACTGCCAGATAATCTGGGAT